AGACATATGGGGAAAACTGAGTTGTTTGGCATTGGGGCGAGAGCTGGAGAGACAGTTTTCTCCCCGACAGACATGCTGGAGGAGGCCGTTGTTCCTTTGGTGAGTGCTTCCCCAAGGGGCCAGCAGATGGCCGCCATATCTGGGACTCCAGCAACCTGGCTCACACTGTTTGCCCCTCCCTGGTGATTCCCTGAGGCCCTGCCCCACCCAACTTTCAGACCCACCCAAGCTATTTCTAGTGACTTTACCATAGGATTGGCTTGTCTTGGCTCCTGCTTCAGATTTTCCTAATTTCTCTCAAACAAGGAGCATCTGGCCTCAGCGAGCCCCAAACCTCTTGCTAAGTGGCCCCAGGCCCGGCACTAGAAGCAGCCAGCCTTGCTTCACAGATTGGGTTTGCCTGGGCACCTCCAAGCCCAACACAAGAAGCAGCCATTGGCAGATTGCTTTGTAGCTTATGCCTGGTGGCCCCAAGTAGAACACAGGCAGTGGCTGACCTTGCCCGAGAGCCAGCATACCCAGTGGACAGCTTCAGACCATGTTGAAACATCACCACCCAACTACCTCCATAAGTGACACAGTCAAGGAGTGGACTCAGTGGGTACCAGAGCCCTGCTGAAGTAAGTCTTGCTCTGTGTGGTGGGCCCTGCACAGCTGATCCTACAAGGCAGTCAGAGGTCAGTGGTCAGTGGGCATGGCCAGTTCTTGCAGGTGATCAGCTTGAGTAAAACCCTTCCATGGATGTGCCAACAGCAAATAAGACTCAATGACAACAGAAGTGTGGACAGTCCACATGAGGGGTGCACCTCAAGGGCCCACTGGGGTGATCAGGGAGGCTGTGTCATTGGACCCTACAGGATACCTACTATAATAGGCCACCCTATGAAGCCTAGGAGACATAGCAACTGTACCTAATACATAGAAGCAAACATGGAGAGGCAGCCAAAATGAGGAGACAAAGAAACATGTCCCAAATGAAAGAACAAAACTCCAGGAAAAGAATTAAATGAAATGGAGATAAGCAATCTAACAGATGAAGAGTTAAAAACACTGGTTATAAGGATGCTCAAGGAACTTAGTGAGGACCTCAAAAGCATAAAAAAGGACCGGTCATAAATAAAGGATGCACTAACTTAAATAAAGAATAATTTACAAGGAATCAATAGTAGAATAGGTGAAGCGGAGAAGCAAACCATCAATTTGGAATATAAGGAAGCAAAAAGAAAAAAATAATTCATAAAAATGAGGATAGTGTAAGGAGCCTCTGAGACAACCTCAAGCATACCAGCATTCGCATCATAGGGGTGCCAGTAGGAGAAGAGAGAGAGAGAGCAAGAAATTGAAAACCTATTTGAAAAAATAATGACAGAAAACTTTCCTAACTTGGTGAAGGAAACAGACATACAAAGTCCAGAAAGCACAGAGAATCCCAAACAAGATGAACCCAAAGAGGCCCACACCAAGACACATCATAATCAAAATGCGAAAGGTGAAAGAGAAAGAGAGAATCTTAAAAGCAACAAGAGAAAAGCAGTTTGTTACCTACAAAGGAGCTCCCATAGATTGTCAACCAATTTATCAAAAGATACTTTGCAGCCCAGCCAGTGTGGCTCAGTGGATTGAATGTTGTCCCATAAACTGAGAGGTCCCAGTGTGATTCCCAGAAAGGGCACATGCCTGGGTTGTGGGCTTGATCCCCGTTGGAGGGCATGTGAAAGGCAGCCAATTGATGTTTCTTTCTTTTTTTATTGATTAATTTTTGTTACAGATGTTTCTACTTTTCCCCCCCACTGATTCCCCCTCTCCCTCTCTCCCTACCCTTTCCCCAGTTTGTTGTCCATGTCCACTGTTCATGCATACATGCATATAAGTTCTGTGGTTTATCTCTCCCCCATCACCCCCCTCTTCTGGGGATTGTCAGTCTGTACCCCACTTCCACATCTCTGGGACTACCCCATTCTTCAGACTCTTATGTTCATTATATTCCACAAATAAGTGAGATCATATGAAACTTGTCTTTCTCTGTTTGGCTTGTTTCACTTAGGATGATACTTTCCAGGTCCTTCCATGTAGTCTCAAAGGATAAGAGATCTTTCTTTCTTACAGCTGCGTAGTACTCCATTGTATATATGCACCACAGCTTTTTAATCCATTCGTCTATTGATGGACACTTGGGCTGTTTCCAGATCTTAGCTATTGTAAATAGTGTTGCTACAAACATAGGAGTACATATATTCTTTCTGATTGGTGTTTCAGGCTTCTTAGGGTATATTCCTAGAAGTGGAATCACTGGGTCAAATGGAAGTTCAATTTTTAATTTTTTGAGGTAACACCATATTGTTTTCCATAGTGGCTGCACCAGTCTGCATTCCCACCAGCAGTGCACTAGAGTCCCCTTTTCTCCACACCCTGCCAACACTTGTTGTTTGATGATTTGTTGATGGTGGCCATTCTGACAGGTGTGAGGTGATACCTCACTGTTGTTTTAATTTGCATCTCTCTGATGATTAGTGATGATGAGCATTTCTTCATATGTTTCTTAGCCATTTGTATGTCCTGTTTGGAGAAGTGTCTATTTAATTCCTCTGCCCATTTTTTAATTGGGTTCTTTGTCTTTTTTTTGTTGAGTTGTATGAGCACTCTATATGTATTGGAAATTAACCCCTTATCTGATATATCATTGGCAATTATGCTCTCCCATACAGTGGGTAGCCTTTCCGTTTTAATGATTGTATCTTTTGCTGTGCAGAAGCTTTTGAGTTTGATGTAGTCCCATGTGTTAATTTTCTCCTTTGTTTCTATTGCCTTAGGTGATGTGTCAGTAAAAATTTTGCTGCGTATGATGTCTGAAATTTTGTTGCCTACAGTCTCTCCTAGGATTTTTATGAATTCATGAGTCACATTTAAGTTTTTTATCCATTATGAGTTTATTCTTGTGTAGGGTGTAAGTTGATGGTTTAGTTTCATTTTTCTGCAAGTAGCTGTCCAATTTTCCCAGCACCATTTATTAAAGAGGCTGTCCTTACTCCACTATATGCTCTTGCCACCTTTGTCAAATATTAATTGAGCATATTGCTTTGGGTCCATTTCTGGGTTCTCTGTTCTGTTCCACTGGTCTATATGCCTGTTCTTGTGCCATACCAGGCTGTTTTGATTACAGTGGCTTTGTAGTATAACCTGAAATCTGGTATTGTGATCCCTTCAATGTTGTTCTTCCTTTTCAAGATTGCTGTGGCTATTCGAGGCCTTTTTTGGTTCCATATGAACTTTTGAAATAATTGTTCTAATTTTGTGAAGTATGCCGTTGGTATTGATATTTCTTTCTCACTTTGATGTTTTTATCTCTCTCTCCTTTCTTCTCTCTCTAAAAAAAAAAAAATCTATAAAAACATACTAAAAAAGAAAAGAAAAAAAGAAACTTTGCAGGCCAGAAGGAAGTGACAAGAAATATTCAAAGTGATGAAAAGCAAGGACTTACAATCAAGATTACTCTATCTTGCAAGACTATTATTTAGAATCGATGGACATATAAAGAGTTTCCCAGACAAGAAAAAGCCAAAGGAGTTCATCACCACCAAACCAGTATTATATGAAATGTTGAAGGGTCTTCTTGGAGAAGATAAAAAATATGAACAATAAAATAGCAATAAATACATACTATCAACAATTGACTCTACAGACCAAATAAACAAGCAGAACAGAAACAGATTCATAGATACAGAGAACTTTTTGTTAGCCGCCAGATTGGAGGGGGGTTGGGGGACAGGCAAAAAAGTGAAAGGACTAAGAAGTACAAATTAGTTGTTAGACTGATCAGCCTTGGAGGGAAGGGGGTTGTGCGGGAAGAGATAAACCAAATAACTTATATGCATATATGCATAACCAATGAACACAGACAATAGTGTGGGGAAGGCAGGAGGGGGTGGGAGTGGGGAGGAGGTGGTCAGTGGGGGAAAAAGGGGCGGCTTCTGTAATAGTTTCAACAATAAAAATACATTTAAACAAATTTTTAAAAAAAGAAGTAAAGCTGTGTATCTTCTGCTCTGGGCATTAATGATATGAAATTATCATGATGTTTTTATAGTCTTGACCAAAGGTTTTTCAGTTTGGTGAAAAGCCGGCCAACATTACCAGCTTTTGCCATAGCATGCTTGGCTCCGTGACTTTCCCTGCTTCTCATCATTCTGCAGTTTGATTACCCAGCCAGCTCACAGAGTGAACCTGGCTCTATTAATGGAGTGTGCTGAGATTAAGGGGTAGCTATAGCAAAATTTATTTGCATTTTTCCCCCCAAATCTGTGAGTTCTCGGCAGCCACTATATTGCTTGGGGCTGCTATCAAGTGTGGTGATTTAAAATTATTTAGTACTTTTACTGTTCTCTCTTTTGGTCCACAATCAAGAATGGCTTCCACCAGTAAAAGTAGAGTTGAGCATTTTTGTTTGTTTACTTTGTTTCCAGTGTTAATTTGGTTAAGAGAATAAGAAGTAGTTTGGTAGTTTACCTGTGTTAATCTGGACATTTCCTCAGTTTTGGATGATGAAGCTGTTTTCTCAGTTCTGCTTGAGAACTGTGCTGACATAACCACTCTCCCTCAGGGCTATGGAGACTTATTTATGCATATACAGGATGCACAGCCTCTACTAAGTGCCAGATGGGAAGATAACACTGGATGTGTAGGCATCCGTCTCCCTCTTCCGTTTAGAAAAGTACTCTGTTTAGACAGAAAACTGGAGTTTCTGTCTAAAATCTCTGTAAGACTTGTCAAGGTATTTTTGACAGGCTGATTTCCTTGGGTTTGAAGATGCAGGATGAACACTCAGAGTTCCAGGCTATGATCTGGGCCATTGTGACTCTCAGAATGCTAAGCAGTTGGAGACAAGAAAATAAACTCCATGATATCTTCTTGGAGATGGAGAAAAGCTTGGAAACAGAACAATTGCATGGGGCTTCACTCTTCAAATTCTTTATTTGTTCTTCTCTGTAACTCAGTGGGTCATCATGGGAACAGCCAAAAACAATCAAAATGTACTGAAACTTTCACTTCTTGACAAAAGTAAGACACCTAAAAACTATGACCATCCTGAAGTTCTGCATCACACCTTTGAGACTCTGTTTAACCTTCACATGCTGCTTCCAAATTGTCTGTTGGAGATGCTTTATTCCTATAAGAGTGAACAGGACAAAGAAAAATGTATGAGGGTAGAAGGTAAGTGTAAACTCTTTTTAGTAAGTTTTTAGTGTCTTGGTACCAGCTTCTTTTAGCCATGAGTAAGACCTTATTCTTTACTTTGTAGGTGTGCTCAGTCCTTGAGACCCATAACCCCTTCCATACTGATTATGCTATAGGGACCCGTGTTCTCAGACCTTACTGTAGAAATTACCCATGTACTGATGCACCATCACTGCTTCACATTCTTTTTAGTAATCAGGATGGGGCCCTGGCCTGTGTAGCTCCGTTGGTTGAGCGTCATTGTGCACTGAGAGGTTGCTGGTCGATTACCAGTCGGGTGCCTTCCTGGGTTTTGGGCTCAGTCCCTGGTGGGAGTGGGGGTATTCCACTCTCTCATCAATATTTATCTTTCTCTCTCCCTAAAAATCAATGGCAGTGTTTTAAAAAAGCACCAAGATAGGTCTGTCCCTGTTCTTTGAGAAAAGCATACCTGTGGAAAGATGGAAAGGGGGTTAAGTGGAACACACCACTAAATTTACAATTTTAGCTTTAGATTTGACTTGATGATTAATGACTTCAAGCATTGAAGTTTATTCCTTTGCTCTATTTCCTACTAGTCCTTCCTCCTATTACCAGGATTGTTATACTGCAGAAAGAAGCAACTTTCCCTTGTTGCAGTTTGGAAAGGCAAACCACTCCTGAAATTCCTTCAGGACAGATGACTGGACTGATTTTCGGATTTGGGTGGAGCATGATTAATTGAAGGACAAATGTAGATGGTAGCCACATGTGCCCATGAACCTAGAAAACTAAATAGCACTTGTCACAGTGATTAAGACACAAATCCTAGGTAAGAAAGTAGGTATCGGGGTAATGATTTTAAAGCATTATGGCAAATTTGGCCATTTGTATAATGATTCCTAAACCCCAAATCCACAGTATTGTGAATCAATCCCATTATCCAGATTACCCTAAAGATTACAGTGGTTGAGCATCGACTCATGTACTAAGAGGTCTCTGGTTCTATTCCCGGTCAGGGCACATGCTCAGGTTGTGGGCCCAATCCCCAATGGGGGGCATGCAGGAGGCAGCCAGTGTTCTCTCTCATCAATGTTTCTATCTCTCTCTAAAATCAATAAAGAAAAAAAATTTTTTAAAAAAATTGATAGTGATAAACATGTGGGGAAATAAATACCCTCACAATTGATAGCATGTTAATTGATTCAGTCTTTTTCAAAAATAATTTGCAAGTCTCGAAATTAAAATGTATGGTATTGGATTATTGAATGAGCTGAACTTGGTAAAGAGGAGGCAGAAAATAATTTTCTTCTTTATCAAAACTTCCCTCTTTGCCCCACTGTGTTGATCTTCACTCATCACCTTTGGATGAAATTTCTAGCAGTCCTCATAGCTTTCCTGGTCATATTCAAATAATAAAAAGTTCACTCCTATCCAAACTCTTTACCCTTATCCAGTTTAAAAACTCTCCGCTCCCCACTACTCCAGCCTGACTTAGATTCAGAAACTGGGAGTAGTCCTGGCTGTGTAGGCATCTGTCTCCTCCCTCACTGGCTTCTGGTAGGTTGTCAAGGGTGAGGATGGGAGAAACTGAAAAGCTTTTTGTTGACTGGTGAAATATCAAATTGTCTTTTGTGCTCTCTGGGCTTTCAAAATCTGAGCTTTTCTTTCCTGGTATCTGTGTGGGTTCTTTGGTGATTTCCAATTGACAGCCTTCTGCTCACATATCCCCTCTTTCATCTCCACCCCTCCCATCATTGGTATGGTACATTTCCATTCTATTTCTTTTCTTTTCTTTTCTTTAATCTTTATTGTTGAGTGTATTACAGATGTTCCTCATTTTCCCCCCATCGGCCCCCTCCTCTCCACTCCCAGCCCCCTCCCGCCTTTTCCCACACTATTGTCTGTGTCCATTGGTTATGCATATACATTCTTTGGTTTATTTCTTCCCACCTCCATTCTATTTCAACCGAGATTGCCTCACACTTTGGACAAAAGTCCTCTTGAGATGCTAATTACTTTCCAGGCATGGGGGTGGGGTGGGGGGTGGTTCACATATAGTTCATAGAAAATTTGCATTTCTGTCCTCCATGTCTTTACCCAGTTGGTGAAAATACACTGGCTTCCAACACTGAGCTCTTTTCTCCATGGCCACAGGCAGCTGTGGTCCTGGCCATTTGCCAAGAGACTTTTCCAGGTGTTAGAAGTTGAGTTGTGTTTCCAAAGATATGTTGAAGTCCTAAAGCCCTGCTCTATAGAATGAGAACTAATTTGGAGATATGGTCTTATAGAGGTGCAGATGTAATTAATTTAAGATGAGGCCATACTGGAATTAGGGTGGGTTCTTTATCCAATATGAATGGTCCTTATAAGAAGACAGAGACACACAGGGGGAAGATGGCCATGTGGCAGCAGAAGTTGAGGAACATTAAGAAAACTAGTGGGACAGCAAACACTAGAAACTAGGGGGAGGCAAGGGCAAATTCTTTTCTAGAGGTTTCAGAGGGAACATAGGACTGACGGCACCAGCTTGGCTTTGGACTTCTAGCGTCTAGAACTGGGAGACAATAAATTTGTTGTTTTAAGCCACCTCGTTGGTGGTACTATGTTATGGCAGCGCTAGAAACTAATAAATTAGGTGTTAGGGGACACAGCCCAGTAGCTTCATTTGCCAGGGGGAGGGGAGATGGTACAGTATATGGCACTACAGCAACTGCCTATAGAAATCTTCACATGCCTTAAAGAAGGTTAGCCGCCTAGCCGGTGTGGCTCAGTGCTTGGGTGCCGACCCATGCACCAAGAGGTTGCCAGTTCAATTCCCAGTCAGGGCACATGCTCAGGTTGTGGGCCAAATCCCTAGTGGGGGACATGCAGAAGGTGGCCAATCGATGTTCTCTCTCATCAATGTTTCTCTCTCTCTCTCTCTCTCTCTCCCTTTCCCTTCCTCTCTCTCTAAAATCAATAAAGAAAAAAATGTTATTTAAAAAAGAAGGTTTAGCCTTTTCTTATATAGATAGGTATATTGTACATAGGTGGGTATTGGACTTTTCTTTCTTCTTCTTTTTTTTTAATCCTTACCCGAGGACATTTTTGCATTTATATTTAGATAGAGCTTGAGGGAGAGAGGGAGGAAGAGAGAGAAACATCTACGTGAGAGAGACACATCGACTGGCTGCCCACCCACACGACTCCAACTGGGGCCCAGGACAAACTGCAACCAATGTACGTGCCCTTAGCGGAAACCGAACCTGGGACTCTCTGGTCCTCGGGCCGACGCTCTAACTGCTGAGCCAAACCAGCCAGGGCGGTATTGGATTTTTCTTAGACAATATGGTTTTAGGACAAAATAGAGATGACAGAAAAATTCATATTAAAAAAATATTTTTATTGATTTTTTTAGAGTGAGAGGAAGGGTGAGAGGGAGAGAGAATCATCAACATGAGAGCAAAACATTGATTGGTCACCTCCTGCATGCCCCCCACTGGGGATTGAACCCACAACCTGGTCGTGTGCCCTGACCGAGAATTAAAACTGACCTGCTAGTGTTTGGGACAGTGCTTAACCACTGAGCCACACTGGCCGAGCTAGAAAAATTCATATTTTAACATCCCTTTACATAAGCATGTCCTTCAACTTAGCAATTCCACTTCTAGTTAGTATCCTAGAGAAATACTCACACCTGTGCACAAAGACACCTGACCAGGGTGTGTGTTAAAGCATTGTTTATAATGATGAAAACTGTAAACAGCTCAATGTCACACAATACAGGGTGAATAAATACACAGATACATCCATACAGTGGAATCTACGAAAAAGAAAGTTAACATCAAAATATCGGCTGGTCAGGGGATATGCCTAGGTTTTGGGTTGAATCCCCGGTTGTGGTGGGTGCAGGAGGCAACCAATCAATGTTTCCCTTTCACACTGATGTTTCTCAAATCCATAAAAGAAATATAGCCTCGCCCTGGCCGGTTTGGCTCAGCGGTTAGAGCGTCGGCCTGCGGTCTGGAGAGACCCGGGTTCGGTTCCCGCTAAGGGCACGTACCTCGGTTGCAGTTTGTCCCCGGCCCTGGTCGGTCGTGTGGGTGGCAGCCACTCGATGTGTTCCTTTCACGTCGATGTTTCTCTCTCTCTCTCTGTTCCTCTCTCTCCCTCCCACTCTACCTGAACAAAAAATGGAAAAATGTCCTCGGGTGAGGATAAAAAAAAAAAAAAATAAATAATAGTTAAATAAAAACATTAAAAAAATCTACAAAACACACTGTAGAGTTTTAATAAGCTGCATGGTAAGAAACAAGGATTCCATTCATGCCAATAGAAGACCATATCTTTGTACATACAAATATGTATGTAAAGAAAAGAGTTCTGAAAACGGACACACCAAATTCAGGCTGGTGGCTTCCTCTGGAGAAAGCATAGAGATTGGAGGAAGAAGGACTTTCCCTTTGACTATGTATATGTCTTTAAACTGTTTGATTTTATTTACTTCATTGGAAATCTCTACATGTCTTTTTGCAATAAAATGTAATTTTAAAATTGAAAATGCAGTGAGGTTGAAGAAATGACTTAGCTTTTGTTACCTTAGCCTCCCAGTGTATACACTGATGTTGATACATCTTTAGCAATTGGCGGTGTTCCTACCATGTAAAACAGCTGCTGTTGCTGTCCCTCTGCCCTTTGTTTCTGAGGTTTTTGTCTGCAGTCATTTTCTGGAAGCCAGTCTACAGAAGTGCACTATGCAGCAGAGGGGGGTGGCATTCATGTGGAAGAAATGTTTCTTGAGTCTCAAGTCTGTGCCTGAAGGAACTGTGCTTAAGGCGGAATTCAGTCACTGAGCAAATATTAGCTTTTGAGGCCCTGAATTCTTTTTTTTTTTTTTTTTATCCTCACCCGAGGACACTTTTCCATTTTTTGTACAGACAGAGTGGGAGGGAGAGAGAGAGAGGGAAACATCGATGTGAAAGGGACACATCGAGTGGCTGCCACCTGCACGACCAACCAGGGCCAGGGACAAACTGCAACCAAGGTACATGCCCTTAGCGGGAACCGAACCCGGGTCTCTCTGGACCGCAGGCGGGCGCTCTAACCGCTGAGCCAAACTGGCCAGGGCAAGGCCCTGAATTCTTCACTAAAAACTACTTCATTTCCAAAATGCCACTTGCAAACGCATAGTGATTGCCTTAAAGGTGCATCCTGAAAAGATGACCCGATTTCTCACTTTCATCCATCAGGTTATGAATTCAATAATGGATACCAATGCCTCACTATCACCGTGTCCAAAGCCTTTCTTCTAGTAGAAATTTCATCTGACCTTGAAATGCAGTTTATCCCTCCCAGGCCACCTGCGTCTTCATCTGCAGGGAAGTTTTGCCTGTATTAGCCTGTACCATTGTTACCCGGGGCCATTACAAGAAGAAAGAAAAGAAATAACTAAAGATTTATTGCTAAAAACTCATATTTTCCCTCTATATTTTAAATAATAGTGCAGTTAAGTCATAAGAACAACATAATATGGAAAAATGTAGGTCCATCACACTATATGAATTTAGATACACTGCTGTCCAGAAAATTGTCTCCAAAACATCATAAGACTCTACAAGAGGTCCTCTTCCTCACCACCACAATGTGAGAGGTTATGTTGAGATCTTGTTATTACTGGCTTTATGATGTTTGGTACATTTCCATACCAGTTTCTTAAATGACTGACTGGTACCAAACCAAAAGGTAGGAAATGGGAGGAATTTTAAAGCTTTTGTGTGCTGTTTTTTATGTTTAAGAAGGGAATTCTCTTGGTTAATTCCCTGCCTCTCAAAATACTTTGGGAGGTTGCTTAACTGGACAGTGGGGACCTGCAGGGAGAGGCAGGGCAGTCAGGAAGAGTGGTCCCATAGAGTGAATGGGCTTGGAGAGGAAACCAATGGGGCAACTTTAGAAGCAGTGTGTGCTGGCAGTTCACCAAATCAATGACTTCTGCTTGCACATGGAAGACAAGTAGGAGGTACTAAAGTAACAGATCAGCTTAAAGCCTGAAGTTTTTTTTTGTTTTTTTTTTTTACTGTCTTTGGTAAATACACATGCACACACACAGGCATCCATGCACACACGCTTGCAAGGGCTTGTGTACTGGTTTATATACCTTAACTCTGCTGATTTGTATCATGATTACTATTCTGTCTATCCATCCAACCATCCATCCATCCATCTATCCATCCATCCACCATGTATTGTATTCCATGCATTAAAATAAAAACTTAGCCCTGGCCAGTTTGGCTCAGCAGTTAGAGTGTCGGCCTGCGGCCCAGAGAGACCTGGGTTTGGTTCCCGCTAAGGGCACGTACCTTAGTTGTGGTTTGTCCCTGGCCCTGGTTGGGTCATGTGGGAGGCAGCCACTCGATGTGTCCCTTTCACACTGATGTTTTTTTTTCTCTCTCTCTTCCTCTCTTTCCTTCCCACTCTTATCTGAACAAAAAATGAAAAAATGTCCTCGGGTGAGGATAAAAATAAATAAATAAATAAATAATAAATAAATAAATAAATAAATAAAATAAAAATGAAAAATAAAAACATCTTAATACCTTTTAGTTTAATATCTCCAAAATTTTACATATAAATTGACAGTCAATATTATTTTACATAAAATTTTTTTGAGGTGTTCCTATGCTTATTATACTTTCTTTCAAAACCAGAAAACCTGTTTATAATTTCAAATAAAGTAAGTTGTAAGATCCAATTAAATATTCAGAGTTCTGAGTTTTTATCTAATTTTGGTTTGTGTGCAGTACTAAATATAATTATTCATACTGGAGAATATGAGAATTTGTAAATGTTATTCTCTCTCTCTAATTTATCCCTAGATGCTTAGAAACATAATTTGAGGTAATATACAATATTAAAATATGTCTATACAAGAAGACAACCAAAAAAATTAATTTGAGGCAAAAATTTTATTTTAACTGTACGTCACCAAATACTTGAATTTGGTTAATTAATTTAGCTGAATATTAAATTTAGCTATAAAATTATGACAATCAAAGCAAACCATAAGTCGTTTCTATTGTTTGAATGTGCTTGTGAGAGCTTCTGGGTGCTCCAGTGTGTGATCACTGAGCTAATAAACTGCTAAGAGCAGTATATGGGAGCTCTCTGGGCCAGGCCTTGACCATTGGGCAGGAGTCTCAGATTCCATCCTGTTCTTGACTCACTTGGAGTGAGTTTTGGGCCTCTAAGGATCAAGCTATCCATCAAGTCAATGTATCATTTAGTCAGATTGCCAAGTTGTGTCCTTTGAACCAGTTCTTGGTTCTTTGGGGTCTCTGCCAATTGCCCTGTCTGGGAGGGATTATTATCAGTGGTTCAGCCTGAAAAATAATGAGGGCTTGACAAGTTCTGATCTAATTCCTGTGCAAGGTTACCGTGAATCTCTCCAAGGCTCAGCTTCTGTTCCTGCATTAGGTTTATGACAGCTCTTTTATTTTCTAATACACCTAATTGAATTGCTGAGATACTCATAGTATAGCCTGCAAACTGGCTTTGGTTCTCAAATCCTTAGCAGTTAACAAAGAGATAAGAAGCTTACACTCCAGTATAAGTCAACTATGTCACTAAACACACAAAGAAGGCAAAGACATGTTATAAAAGAATTAGAACCAAGAGATAAGAAGCTTATACTCCAATATAAGTCAACTATGTCACTAAACACACTATGCAATTCAACTGACTCTTTTCTGTCCTCCCTTCTTCACTCCCTCCCACTTTTCTTCCCTCCTTTCCTTCCTTTTCTTTTTTTGTTGCAAGACTGTTTCGCTGAAGGAAGCAGTATACTGAATTACATTCTGTCAAAGCTCTTTGTCTTATTGAAAATGGGCAATTTGGTTAGGGACCCAAATGAGGTCAATGTGAAGCAGAGGATGTTGTACAAATGCAGAATGTCATTAATGTCTCTGAAAATAAAAACAATTGTGTAGTGGCCTGACATTAGTTTGACAATTATGCACAAGTTGTACAAACAACCTTCAATATTTGTGGTGGTACAAGAAAATCTGTTCATTCATTCATTCACTGTGTATTTATTAGATGTCTAGGACCAGGCTAAGGTGTAGAATGTTACTCAGTAGTATTTTTGCAATGATGCAGTGGAAGAGCTAAATAGCAATTATTAAGTGGCATAAATATTCTTTCTGAAATTAATGTCATGTTACTCTTATTATGAAAAAAATTGAGAGAAACACTGAATTGCAGTAATACTTATCTATTGCTAGGTGAGAATTCTGAACTCTCTGGCTTAGAAAGGATCTTAGCAAGACATCAGTTTCCCAAAGAGATTAATCTGACCCCAAAGCCAAGCAATATGCTCCTGTGGAAAAGAAAAGCCATCAACAATGCAAATCACTGGTGGAAAAAATGTCACTTGAACAAAAACACAAAGGATCCTCCAATGTCAACTATAGTTGTCAGGTAGGTGTCTAATTTTTGTCATATGCAGACATATTTAGAGATATACAGGGTAATAATAAGCTCTTTTTTTTTTTTTAATCCTCACCCGAGGACATTTTTCCATTTTTTGCTCAGGTAGAGTGGGAGGGAGAGAGAGGAACAGAGAGAGAGAGAGAAGCATCGATGTGAAAGGGACACATCGAGTGGCTGCCACCCGCACAACCGACCAGGGCCGGGGACAAACTGCAACCGAGGTACGCGCCCTTAGCGGGAACCGAACCCGGGTCTCTCCGGACCGCAGGCCGACGCTCTAACCGCTGAGCCAAACCGGCCAGGGCGCTCTTTTTACACCTTACCTAAAAAATGGCCTAATGTGGTCTTTGAGATATATGGTGAGGATAAAAACAAACATTGCTCTGTATAAAACTGCATGAACCCCATTTTCAAACACCCCAAGCATCTGGAAGAGCCCTTATTGAACGAAAACTCATGGAGATAGGGACAGGTGTGTGGCCCCCCTATGGATCATTGTGTTCTTGGTTATTGAGGAGATATAGCAGAGCTCGGGAGTGGGATTCTTGGAAAAGGATCCAACCGCTGAACTTTGGGGCTTTTATGCTATATGAGTCAGGAAGCACGACTGGGGCCTAGGATACAATAGTATGAATGTAGACCTTGGCTTTATCTCTAGTCTGCCACATTTTACACTGACAGAAATGGGAGGCTATTGTCAGGTCTTAAAAAGAAAGTGACACAATCTGACTTGAATCCTCCCTGGTCTCTAGGGGAACAAGGGTAGAAGCAGGAGAAGGATGGTGGGCCTTGAACCGGGTGGTAACATTTGGGATGTGGAATGGTTGGATTCTAGCAATCAAAATTAAAGTTTGGTTCCTTGGCAAATTATCTTTGTTGGTACACTTCCTTCCATGATTATGCCAGACAGATGGTGTTTTCTATATTTTTTTTCTTTAGCATTGCTGAATGTATTGCTGCACAGTACATAATGAATGGTTCCTATATTTTGACATAGTAAGTTTTCAAAAAATGTTGCCTTACAGGAGAAATATATAATTTGCTATAAAGACAGAGTCCTCTCTGCTTTGAAGGTAACACAGAGAGAATTCTAGCTCATGAATTTGTTTGTATTGGAAGCTCCCATGGGGATCATTGCCCTTATAAAATAATCTCCTTATCTACTTCCTTTTTCAGTATCCTCAGTGACATAACTTGACGATTTGATTTAAAAATTCATATTCAAAGAAGGCAAAGACATGTTATAAAAAAATTAGAAACATGTTGTTTTCTTCTTGGACAATGCAAGGCATTGCATTTTTGTCCACATTTACAAGTAGAAGTTGAGTGATGATCCTGATTATTTAATTTAAGATTATTTTGAGGCAGGATAGAGAGATGATAAGAAAATACCTGGGCAAGTGGAATGAGGAAATTGAGACAAGAAAAATTAAACAAGGCCAAACAATTTGAACTTTTTTTATAGCCAGCTGGTGAATCGCAACACTTTATCACCCCAACCAAGGACAATTGAGAACAAACGGTTTACACCCCTCCTTCCTAACTAGGGAACACATAATTTAAATCACCCTGGACTGGGGAAAACAGAGAACAATGACCCTACTAATGCCATTTGTGCCAGCTAAACCCAAGGACTGATGAAGTTGGGGAACAAATAACAAAAACCCCATTAAAGCCAGACAAACTTAAGATAAAAGTAAGACAGTAAAACAGACCAAAGAATAATCCAAAACTCCCCTATGTGTTCATTTTGATTCATCAGCGTATTAAAAATGCATCTGGAAAGCTGATGCATATTCTACTGAAACCCTCCCTTAAGATTCTCACCTGCAGAGATAAAAAAACTTCTCAGGACAAAGATTCAATGCGAGCTAGCTCTAGAGCATGCCCATGCCCCTTCCTGGGCATGAACTTTTATTTCTAAGGGTCCCCATGAGACTTGCGACCAGGAGAGCAATGGGCAGCAGAGCTCAACCTGGGCTCACCCCCTGATTCTGTTTCCAAGGTCCCCTTTCTCTCTGACTTCTGGGTCAGCTAAAGCAGCCCCACCTTGGCTCACTCCTATCACTGTGACCCTCACTTCTCAGTGAGCTAACAGCATCCCCACCTTGGCTCACTTGTTTTCTATATCATCTCTAGAAAGGCAAAGTAGAACACTGCCTAGGCTCTCCCCTGTCATTTCTTCAACATGAATTTCGTCCTTTATCTCACTGTCCTCAGCATGAACTGAAAATGCAGTGAGGTTGAAGAAATGACTTAGCTTTTGTTACCTTAGCCTCCCAGTGTATACACTGATGTTGATACATCTTTAGCAATTGGCGGTGTTCCTACCATATAAAACAGCTGCTGTTGCTGTCCCTCTGCCCTTTGTTTCTGAGGTTTTTGTCTGCAGTCATTTTCTGGAAGCCAGTCTACAGAAGTGCACTATGCAGCAGGGGGGTGGGGGTGGGGGTGGCATTCATGTGGAAGAAATGTTTCTTGAGTCTCAAGTCTGTGCCTGAAGGAACTGTGCTTAAGGCGGAATTCAGTCACTGAGCAAATATTAGCTTTTGAGGCCCTGAATTCTTCACTAAAAACTACTTCATTTCCAAAATGCCACTTGCAAACGCATAGTGATTGCCTTAAAGGTGCATCCTGAAAAGATGACCCGATTTCTCACTTTCATCCATCAGGTTATGAATTCAATAATGGATACCAATGCCTCACTATCACCGTGTCCAAAGCCTTTCTTCTAGTAGAAATTTCATCTGACCTTGAAATGCAGTTTATCCCTCCCAGGCCACCTGCGTCTTCATCTGCAGGGAAGTTTTGCCTGTATTAGCCTGTACCATTGTTACCCGGGGCCATTACCAGAAGAAAGAAAAGAAATAACTAAAAATTTATTGCTAAAAACTCATATTTTCCCTCTATATTTTAAATAATAGTGCAGTTCAGTCATAAGAACAACATAATATGGAAAAATGTAGGTCCATCACACTATATGAATATAGATACACTGCTGTCCAGAAAATTGTTTCCAAAACATCGTAAGACTCTACAAGAGGTCCTCTTCCTCACCACCACAATTTGAGGGGTTATGTTGAGATCTTGTTATTACTAGTTTTATGATGTTTAGTGCAGGAGAAAGCTGCCTCTCCAGCCCTCGCTCCAATGCCAAACAACTCAGGTCTTCCCCATCTGTTTCTGGTGCCCCTCAAGCTGCCTCCCCCAGCTGTAGCCTGGAGGGTGCCAGTCCAAGTAAGTCCACACGCGGGCATATAAGAGGAGCTGCCTGGGGCTCCAGCCGCCTCAGCCTCAATTCCCGCTGGTTTTATAGCCAGAAGTTATGGGGACTCTCTTCCTGGCACTGGAACCCTGAGCTGGGTGCCTGGTGTGGGACAGGGACCCCTCAGTCCTCAGGGAGGACCTTCCCAGCCGAGGTGTCCTCCTGATTTCTATCCGCCACACGTGGGTGTGGGACCAGCCCATGGTGCCTCTACCCCTCCTACTAGTCTCAGTGTGGCTGCTGCTTTAATTCCATAGTTGTAGGACTGCCATTCAGCTCAATGTCAGGCGGTTCTGAATGATGGTTGTTCTGTAGTTTAGTTGTAACTTTGATATGGTTATAGGAGGACACGATACCGCATCTACCTACACTGCCATCTTGACCGGAAATTTTTCTTTATTGAATTTTTTTAGAGAAAGAAGAAGAAGGAGAGAGAGAGAGAGAGAGAGAGAGAGAGAACATCAACTGGATGCCTTCTGCATGATCCTCACTGGGGATTGGGCTCATAACCTGGGCATGTGTCCTGACCAGAAATCGAACCAGCGACCTCTTGGTGCATGGGTCGATGCTCAACCACTGAGCCACACCAGCTGGATTCTGTAATTTTTTATTTCATGTTTCTATGGGGGAAATTAGGACCTAAAGCATCCTTGTTTTCCATCTTGCTAATGTCAGTCTGTTTATTTATGTTTTCCCAATATTTTCTTCTCTCTGTTCTTCATATTGTTTAATTTCTATTGATTTATCTTCTAGGTTCATTGACTCCTTCCTCTGTTGTCAAATCTGCTAGTGTGTCCATCCAGATAATTTTTAAATTTCAGATTTCCAGTACTGATTGTTTTTCTTTTTTTTTTTATTTTTGTAGTTTGCATTTCTCTGCTGAGAATTCATATAGTATTAATCATTTCAAGAGTCTTTTCTTTTAAAATTAACTTTGTTGAGATAACATTAATAATGTAAATTTCAGGTGAACATTATAATTTAATAACTGTGCTCACTACAAAAAGTCGAATTTCCTTCTGTTACCCCCTTTACCCAGTTCACACTCCCACCCCCCCTATTTCCCTCTGGTAATCACCATTCTGTTGTCAGTATCTATGTGTTTGATTTTTTTTTTTTTTATGTATTCATATATGAGTGAAATACCACTTTCGTTTTTCAGTTTGACTTATTTCAATTGGTGTAATACCCTCAAGGCTTAGCCATGTTGTCACAAATGGCAATATTTTATCTTTTTTATGGCTTAGTATTATTCCATTATAAAGAGGTGGGCAAAAATAAGCTTACAGTTGTTTGTATGAAAATAATAAAATAATTAATAAATAATAATGCAAGAATAAACTCTGTGTTTCCTGTACTTACCACCGTAGACCTTCTTTTGCCAACCCCTGTATATTACCACATCTTTATTCATTTATCGTTTTATGAACACTTAGGTTATTTCCATTTTTTCACTATTATAATTAATGCTGCAATGAACACAGGGGTACATATATCTTTATGAATTAGTGTTTCCATAATTTCAGGTAAATACCTGGAGGAATTCTGGATAATATGGTAGTTCCATTTTATTCTTTTAAATCTTACCCGAGGATATATTTTTATTGATTTGAGAAAGAGAGAGAGAGAGACATTAATGTGAGAGAGAAACATCAATCAGTTGCCTTCCTGTATGCACTCTGACTGGGGATCAAACCTACCACATTTTTGGTGTACAGGATGA